TTCATGGCAAACATATATATATGTGTTTGTTCAATTATTTTTTGACTTTCTAGTTCGTTGTGTTACATTCCACCAAAAAAAAGAAAATAATAACTGTTTCTGAATGGTGGTGCCAATGGGTGTTAGAAAGCCCAGGCCTGGGCTTGAGGTACAAGTATTGCTCTGAAGTTAATGAATGAGGGGTCGTTCCTGCAGGGTGCTGAGCATTTCACGGGCGAAATGGAGCACATTGAACCCCAAATTAATCACTGCAAATGGATGCTAACTGGATACTAATCTTTGTCTTATGCCAACTTCAAAGTAAAGTAAGAAAAAAAACCAGATCATCAGAATTATGTGAAGTGTCTTGGTTTACGGAATTATTCAAATGTTGATGCAGATGATGAATATGATAAAATGCCAACATGGAAAGAGACTTCTAGAAAGAGGATGTGCAAATTGGGATTGTTCAGATTAGAGCAAATTTAAGCATGTGTTTGTAATTATTTCACAGCAAGAAGAGAATGAATGTGTTTTTATTATGAATACTGTGTTCTGCTGTGGAGATGTGTATTTTGCAGCAGAAAGAGTTGTGTAACATTAAGCAGTTGACTAGAATTGACATTTTCATTTTGTGGTCAGATCTAGCCTTGATAGGAAGCGCCACCATGCAGATTTTAACCTGTTCTACCAGAGCATCTTCAGGAGTTTCAGGGTCTTATTTTACTGTAAAGGGGTCATCTTCACAGAGCGGGGATCACCACTGAGCACAATGAGCAGAGATGTTGGGAAACACAGTCATGACAGTGCAGAATTCATTTGGACTTGTCCTACAACGATCTTCATCATACAGATATGGTTTAATATTACCTTTTTGAGGAGGATCTGAGTGAAGTTTTCCATGTTAAATATTGGGGTTATAGCCAGAAATCAGACAAATATTGTGACAAAGGAAATCATGGCCAAAACCTGATGAACAAAGAAGTCATTAGGTTTATTGCTCAACTAATGCCTTTATTCCAAAGCCATTTTTAGTGTGAAAAATATTTTCTAGAATCAGGACCACCTCCAGACATGTACTGAGGGGATATCTATGAAAAACCTGATCCCGAGCTTTGCTGTTCTCACAGCATGTGCTTACACCTTCCATTCCCGTGTCTCAGACTGCTACAAAAGTTCTTCCAGTTACAGCCCCATTATTTAGGTTTTACAAAAAACTTCTCTCTCCAATTTTATCCTGAAGAGTTGGCTGCATGAGGTGGGAAAAACATTTCTTTCTGTAAATGTTCACGACCTTGACTAAGGAAATACAGCAGCTGCAGCTATTATCTATGCAAAAAGCAGCACCGAGAGCATAGTTCATAGTGTGCTCCAGGGAAAGCTAACGAATAAGCTCGGAGGGATGAATAAACTGATGACAAAGAACAGCTCCTGCAAGCTCTTCTCCGTGGATGCTCCTTGGGCAGAACCTGACACCAGGACAAAGTCGATGGAGGTGAATCGGTTTCCAGAGCGCGGCTGGGCAGATCCATGGGCAGGTTTAAAAGCTGAGCGGGGCGCTGGGGTTGGGAAGGTGCTGCCCGTCCCTCACACGGGGCAGGCAGGCGAGGAGGAAGAGGAGGAGGAGGAGAGGGCAGCCTTCCTCTGCTGCGCAGGCTAGTCCCTGGCCAGCATCCCAGGGTCTCCAGAAACAGACCCTGTCAAGTGGCTCTGAAGGTCGGAGAATGAACAAAATCGCATTATATTAAAAGTAAACGAGTGCAACTCAGGTAGCTGTGGAGTTAAGAAGTGAGTTTTTGCCACAGGGGCTTGGAGTAGCGGTTCTAGCAGAGCTATTCCTAGGAAAGTTGCCGGGCTCCTGGTATAAGAATACCTTTTCCTGGTTTAGATTTACATATTTTAAATGTGTATTTTAATCAAAGTGAGCTATCAACTGTACGTGAACTGTGACTCTTGCCAAAAAGGTGTCTGGAAAACTTTCCATTGACCGAGATAGATGAGAAAGTGGATTTGCAAACATTGCATGTAGGTCTGCAACCCAGGCTGGCAAAAATAGATTCAGAACAAGTCTTCCTGTTTCATCTTCATGTGCATTTGCCAGAAAGGACCATTTTAAGCTGTTCATACTTTTGCCTAAAAGTCTGTGGAATAGCTGACCTGCTAAAGGGTAAATTGGTTTGGAAAGGCGTCTCATTTAATGCCAGCTATTCTAAGCATAGCTGGGCCTCTACTCCAGAACTAAATCATTAAATCCAAGAGAAGCAACAGCAGGAAGATTCTTTTCCTCCTACTTTATTAACATGGGTTTGGCGATTGTAGTTTTTTATTATTTTTTCAAAAAAAAAAAAGTAAAACTTTCTGGCTGTTGCTTGAAAGTTTGTATTTTTATGGTCCAGCTATAGCTCAGATAGACAGGTTGAGCTGGCAGGTTTTCTCAAGAGTTTTTAGAGTGAGGGCTAAGGAAAGGAAAGGGGCTTAAGATGGATGGTTTTTAGTGTGTGACTTTCTTAGTAATCTGTGCTTTTCTTCCCCATATGTCTGGTTCAGTTGAGGTGGGTCCAGCCAGCTGAACGCTGCAGCTGGCCAGAACCTGCTGGTTCCTTCTTCATGCTGCGTGGATGACAGTCTAAGTCCTGTGCTTGAAATTGCTTTCTGTAAATGTATGTTATGCAGTGTTTTTTCTTAAAATTTGGCTTATTTAAAAAATGAAGTTAGACATTTAAGTTTTGCTTGGTTATTAGATATCTGTGGTTTTGTAGTAGCATCATGTAAATCAGAATGCTTACATTTTTTTGTCCTTCATTCACACATATTGGTGTTCTTGTAACCATCCCCAAACCATCTTATTAGCTCTTATTTCTGTCAAAACAGATTTATATTGATCCATATCTCTTCATTTAAGAGAATTTGTTCTGTGCATTTTGTACCTTTTTTCCTTTGAGGGAATTTGCCCTCCAGAAGCGAGAAGTCGCTTCACATTGGGCTGACACTAATGTCATTTTATGGTCATGCCAGCAGGAGGAGCTTGTGTATAAAAGTGGTCTCTCAGTAAAGCCAGCCCAAATCATAACGACTGCTTTTGTGGCATGAAGATACAACATAAACTTCTGTATCCCTGTGAAATGACTGGCTGCCTGATCCTACAGCACTTAGCAGCAGGGAAATTAACTTATTTGAGACAAGCCAGATAAGGCAAAAATGTAATTTTATTCCTTTCTATATCTGATATTTACATGTTCGTGTAATTTAAATCCTTTCTATATCTGATATTTACATGCTTTCGTGCTTGCATGTTCTGAAAAATAGGTATTTAACACAAAACACATTTCTGAGCACTTCCCATGCTCTATTTTAGACACACCATAGGATATAAACATTGCACTCTAGCTTTTTTAGAAACATTGTGGAAATAACAAGTATCAATGTTTGAGCAGCAATTCCTGCTATCGAAAGAAATCCATGCTAACCGCAGAGCTGGAACTGGGTTCCCAGTGAAGATCAGGATTCCTTCTAGCATCTTAGAGAGCACTGTTGAGTTTCAAAATAGAAATTCATGGGAGCAGAGTTGTTACGATGAAACTCTAATGTCTTTGGCTACCAAGAATTAATAACATGCTATATTAATTTTTACTGTTTTGATTTTATTGACAAGCAAATGAAGTAATGAAACTCTAATTTGTAAATCTTGTGGTTATACAAGAGGAGGATGTGTATCAGAGATATTTTATGCAATTTTGTCATGTAGGAAGTGCAGTGAAATTAGAGGCTTTTTCTAAATTATGGTTACTTTGGACCATTCTGCTAGGAAATTTCCAACTAGCAATATATGTTGCCATTAAAAATATTTTCTGGTAACGTTTAACATCTGAATTGGGTAGATTGTTCTCTGCGCTGGTTTTTTTTTATTTCAGTGCATAGCAGTAAGTGTGCACGCTGGAGTCACAAAGCGAATGATACAGCTGCTGTGTCTTGCCAAGTGCTTCCCTGATGCCTCAAAGGGAATTTTCCCCTCGGACCGAGGCCTTGGAAAAGGCCAGTGCTTTGCTCGGATGTCCCCTGTGCGGACCTGGGTTTGCTGGTGCCTTATACGGGGCTCTGAGCTGTGTGGAAAGTCACTGCAGGGGAGAGAGAACTGCAGGGAGAAAATTAATTGCTTGTTTTCAAATACACCCGTATTTATTTAAACTGGCAAGCACTGCAGATGGGCATCTCTCATGGGGTTGTTCACTCGCTCTGGAGATAGGGCTCCTAAGTTTCTCTACGTATAAAAGTAAGCCTGACTTTGTATGCTGTGTAATTTTGTTACTGCCTTGCTGAGCTGCAAAATGCAAAGTTTAGTTATATTTATTGATTTGTATGTAAACAGTTTAATTTAAAACCATGCGGAATCCTCTACAAGAATGGCAAAAGTACAACACTATCCCTTTATACTGTAGTTTCCCGAGGAGTCTATAGCCTCTGAATGTCACCTAGGTAAGCTGGAATTTTCTGTTACTGCTTGTTGTTGAATTTAATGTACTTCTTCTCTGAGCCTTTGCCAAATGGCTCGTTCATGTACAACTAGTCTGTTGTGGGCCAGAAGACACTGAAGGATTCCCACCAGGGATGTATTACTAATGTACTTCATCATGTAATGATACATCCATCCATAATTAGAGGATTGTTAAGTAGAGCATCATCCAAGCTCTTGTCTATTTTGCTTGTACTCTTATCACTTCAAAATGCTTATCCCACCATTTCTGAACTTCAACCCATAGAGATACGCTTTTATCTTGTAATTTGCAGTCTTCCATGAAGTATTCAAAATACTGCTAGTGCTCATTTTCCACAGAGCCCATTTGTACTCGCCGCGGAGTCGGCAGCAGCGGGAATGCAGCTCTGTGTAGTTACAGACACGTGCTGTACCTTGCGCTCATGTGCCAGGCTCCATAACATCTGCTTTGTCATGTGCGGAACGACTCCGGAGCAACCCAGCGTAGCTTCAACTAGCTATTTCCATCTCGTTTCTCTTTTTTTCCTAGTGATATCCAGCCTTCTGGAGAGCCCGTAAGCAAAAGCAGTCGCTCGAGAGTGGCCCCGCGCTTCCCCAAGCTCTCCCGCAGCCACGTGCGGGAGCCCCGCAGCCTGGAGCCGCAGAGCGGGGATCTCTGACGCCGTGAACGCCGGCACCGCGAGCTTCACGCTGCTTCCTCCTTCCTTCCTAGACTATATAGGCCGTTCTAGAAGCTCCCAAAGAGGCTCCAGCTGCACCAACTCAGACCCCGAAAAGAGATATTCCTTGCTAAGGGGCGTCTCCTGGCTAAGTGCTTTGGAAGGCAGTAATGGCTTTCTCCAAACAACAGGTAGGCTCTTGGCCAGAGCCCCGCACGCCGGTGGGCATTGCCGTGTTTTGTCGGGCTGCGGTGCACGTATGTGCTTAACTCGGCTCTTCTGAAGTTGTTCTGTTCCTGTGAATTCCGTGTTTGTGCTGTAGTGCCTCCCCTTCTACACTTCATTTTTTCTCCAGAGAGACATGGGTGTCATGTCAAGACAATTTTTTCTTTAGAAGAATAGCTATGATTATCACTACTTAGTATGTCAGAAAGATGTGCTTAAAACAACCTCACTAATTTATTACCTTTTGTAAATAGAAAAAGACTGTTTATGTTTTTGCTTTCTTTTTTTTAATTGTAAACCTCTGATACACACAAAGGTTTTTAAATAAACTTGGCAAAGTAAATGACAAGGGAAAAAAACAGTGCCGGTGGCAAAAATAGCTTTTGTATGTTTGTAGTTAGGTATTCCCAGTAGCTTTCATTTGTGGAAAGTAATTGTATAAAATCAGAGAATGTAATAATTTTTTAGTGATGTTTCAGTCTTGCTGAAGTAAGACTGGGTGCAATATTGTTCATGTCTACAGACTACCACCAGGATTCACAATGTTAACATAGTACAAAATAGCATATTGCCATTGATTTGTTGCTGGCATTACAGAACCGTCCTTCATCATTAACGGGCAGCTTGGAATTCTTCTTTTATAAAACCACTCCCATGGTATTACTTCAGAATTGCCTGAAATGGAAGTGCCTGTTACCCATCACCACTTATTGAAAAGTAATTTGTAATGGTACTGTTGTGAGTAACTAAAAAAATTAGCAAGAGTTATTATAAGTGATGGAAGTTCTGACATGGATTAACTGGAATCCAGTTCAGTATCCATTAGTTGCACTGCCGTAGGCAGTTAATTATATATTAGCTATCTTCTTTTCTTTATTAAGTTTAAGCAGTGTACATTCAAATTTTCTATCAAATGTATTCTGTTTTTCCTTTGTGTGAGAACATCTTTCTTTGCAGAAGTTCTTTGGATAATCTGACTTAAATTGGTATATCTTGTCCTTTTATCGTCCATTTGTTATATTAAATTCTCCCATCGATAGATACTGAAGTTCTAATACTTCCCTGCAGAAAAAACAAGCCAATTATTAGTAATGCACTTTCTATCTCAATGCTTGATTGAAGTTCTAGCAGACGGAGCTCCCTCTCGCAGGCCTGCGGCGCGCTCCGTGTCGCCGGGTCAGGCGCGCGGTCTCCTCGAGCGAGGACAGCTCCAGGCTGCAGAGGGACTCGTGTTCGTGGCTCGCACGCAGCTCCGAACCGCAGATCCCCTGTTCCTCACGCCAAAAAGCACAGCGTGTGCATTGCACTAGAGCAGCACGTGGCAAGGGGGAGCGGATAATGCAAGAGGAGAACTTGGGAGCCAGCTGATTTGTGTGGACTGAAGGATGAGCTGCTGCCAGAGGCTTGGCTAGCGGACCTTTATTTAAGGGAGAAAAGAGAGCAAGTAGCTTGCCAGGTAACGCCTGTCTGTTATTTTGAAAAGATTCTGAAGTTATCTCACCACGGTCTAGGGACTTGGCTAGCAGAAAAATAGCACGTCTTTTAACACTGAATTGCAAGTGAATCTGAAAGAAGAAGCTGTGCAATCCTTCGTGATTCATCTGTTTGTCACATGAAGCTGTATTAATATTCAGGAAATAACTCACAAGTTAAAGTACTCATCTGTATTCAGAAAGTTGAAAATTGGTAAGAAAGCTAATTTAGCATGTGTAGACTAAATTTAAACTTGTTCTTTTTTTAGTTGTTTAGAAAGAATTTTTCTCTTCTCTGTATTTGCATCTCAAAATTATTTCATTCCTGATCATTTTGCCTCTTGTAATTTATAATATATGTATATAGAGGACACGAAAGTACTGAACTTGTTTATTGTATACAAGTTGTTCATTGCTGCCTTTACCTGAGTTGTATATAAACTACTTTGATTGCAGTCTGCAGTGTTCACTTTGTGGTACAAGATACTGTAATAGAGCTTTGCGAGTCCACTTCCCTGCTTACCTGGGGTCCTTTAAAACCTACTGCTGAAATGCAAGTCTTTGGTCACAGCTTCCTCGATTTATTCACCCAATTACTTCTGAAGACCAAGGAGATACTTGCATGAAAGCAAGTAGATGCCTAGTGCTTTGAATGTCCAATTTTTTAGCACCTCAGTACCTTCTAAGATGTCCTGTATTTCAGAGAATTACAAATACTTTTACAAATAGCACTTCTTTTGTTTGGCTATCAAAATCAGGAAGGATTTTAAAGGAACTACCCCAAGAATCTCAATATACTTATATTTTTTTCTTATAAAATACTTGTAACTGTACCAGTGGTTCCATCAATTGAGTGATTATATCAGTTTCTCTTCTGTGTCATTTAAACTCATGTACATAGCTATGATTTTTTACAAACCTTATCTAATTTGGTACTAACATTTAGCTCATATCATCATATCTGCTCAGTGGCTGGTGCACAATGAGTTGAAGAATTCAGCCAGTTCTTGATGGTGCTTTGAACATCACTATAACCACAGAACAGAGAACTCGGGCCAACTTCATCCCCTGAGTTGTTCCTTCAGGCTTAGGACTAGAGCACTGTTTGAGGCTCTGCGGGTACATCTGTGGCATTATTTCATTTCTGTTTTACCTCTAGACATTTTAAATCTCTAGGGATCCTCATCTGGGACCTTGAGCATCTCTTCAAATTAATTGGTAAATATAAATGGCATTACTTTTTATTTTAATGCTGTTTTCCTGTTGTATGAAAACTGAACAATTTCCTAAGAAACAAAAACCAGGAAATACCTTGCATCTTTTGCAGATGTGATTTTCTGTCAGTATTAATTCATTAAATATTGATTATGTTTTGTCAGAATCTCAATTAGAGATGCTGTAGTTCATTACAGAGAACACATGGCATTGACTTAGCTTTTTGTATCAAATTAAGTTTCTCAATAATAATAAATTTCCAAGGTTTGTATGCGATGGCATAATAGCATAGTAATACAGGCTTAAATTCTTATGTGCATTAAATCACGTACTCTTAGGAAGATTAATACTTTCAAAAACAGTGTTTTTAGGGAACATATTATTGATGTGATAGTTGTAAACAAATTATATCATCTTACAGATTCTACTGGAAGTCATAAGCCAGTGTGATTGGGTTAATAAACAAGTATTTAGCGAGAGTGCATAATAGTATTAATGATCACTGGCTCAGAATGGTGACCTATCCGTTCAGGTGCATTTATATTACAAAACCATGCTTTATTGTACAGAACAGTATCTGCAAGGTAGCTGTCAAACTCATTAACGAGAGCCTGCGAGCAAATGAGGGCGAGTGACTGGGAGCAGCAAGCTGATCATGAATGAGGCTCTGCGCGCCCCGCGTGAGCTCCTGCTACTGCCTGTCAGGACAGCTTAGGTATTTCAGAAGTGATGTGTTGTTAGCAGTATTAGTTATTAGGACTTTCCCACCCGCATGGCGTTCCTTTCACTTTGCTGCAGAGAGCTTTGTTATTTCAAAGGTTTGAAAAAAGCCCACCCCAGATTTATACCCTGTAACTGGGCTCAGCCAGTCCACCTGTGCATTCCGATGGAGTTATCTCCTTGAGATAAGATGAAAACCCTGTGGAACCCCTGTTTCAAAGAAGAATAAACACCTCTTGGCAAAAGTTTGCTCCTAGACCCCCCTTGCAAATCCTGGGAGCAGCACTGTGCTCTGCTGGTGGTAACTGCAGCTACATGGGAAAAAAGGCCACATGAAAACACCATTTTTTTCCTTGAAAACAGTAATATTTTTCTGTTGAGCTCAACTCACCTCTGGCAATATGATTAAACAGCTTAATAAAGTAAGGAATTTGCCTCTTTCCATTTTCTTTTGTTGGGATATTGAAGCCAACACTTTCTCTCCCATCAGGGAATATAAATTTGATGAACATGTAGCTGTTTCAGGAGTTTCTTAGCATCATGTATTTGAAAGAATCACTTTCATATATGAAATAAGGCCTATTATATAACATTTTAAAATATGAGTTACCCTGCTTTGTATTTTACATACTCCTTGAAAAATCCAACACTTGCTCAACACAGTGTTGACACTAGAAGTCTTATTTCTTATTCTGCACTAACTGTTCTTTTATGGTCCCGTTCCATCTAACTAAGATGTTTAGAGAGGAATGACTTGTCCAAATTTACAAACTGCTGCAAGTATCAGGACTTAAAAGAAGATCTTTGTTGCCTAAACAAATGTCCTGCACTTCCATGGAGGAGGAATCCGTTTGTTTAACAAGTTTTCACGAGTGTGTCCCTGTCAGCAGAAGCTAAACTGTGGTAGCTGGTCTCTTCAGCAGGCTCCTGAATTATTTAAGAAGCTAAAAAATATATATAGGAAAGCAAATGTGGTTGAAAATCTATTTCTGGAAGGCTGCATTTTCTTTTCTTAGTAAATAGGGAAATAAATTATATTTTTATGTGGGACCAAACCTGTTGGCAACTAAAGAAGCTGAATTTCCTTGAGATTTTTTGGTCTTTTTTTTTTTCTTGTTCGACAACTTTAAGAAAGATGGTGTCAATTCTAAAGCATACACATGTACAGTGTTCACATAAGTATTAACAAACTGTATGTAATATTATTTTAACTTGTTATGCTTCTGTTTACATTATAGAATTTTTAAGCAAGTGTCTATATATAATTTCTATATACTTTCTTGTATTTTTTTAATATTCTGTGGTTAATTTTGTTGTAATCTGGTTGAAATACATTACTTTACAATGAAGAAAATAAAAATAACATCT